ATGTATTGCTACACTGTTTATTTTCAACTACGAAACCATCTTACAAAATAATTGTTCATTTATTGAATGGTAGCAAAAAATATATTTATTGGTTATCGACTATTTTTTTTGTATATTTGATCCAGCTAATAGTGATGGCTGGTTATTTACTGGGCTGTCTAGCTTACCCTTATTTTATTTTTCAGATTCTGAGGAGTAGAGCTGCGCAGGGTTTTTACTTGTGGGAGTGCCGAGAGTAGGACTATGATTTAAGTATTTGGATCATTATTATTATTATTATTTTTATTAGTGGACTTGGTGGACAATTTTATATGATAAGAATTATCTATTTGTATGGTTTTTAGCATTATGATATTTAAGGATTTAATTTGAGTATTTTACATTGTTGGTTATGTGTTGGATTCTTAGCCTTGCATGCTCACTTAAATGAGTGTGCGGCGTTGTCACGGAGCTTGGGGCCTGACTCATAATATTAAATTATATTATTTGTTATAATCAAATTCACAAATAACGTAACTTGCATATGTTATCATAGCATTACCCTAAAATTTACAATTTGAAGCAAGATTCACTTTCATAAATGTGATAGGTTTCTTAGTAATTGATATATTATGTGGGTGTTTGGGAAGTGGGTAGGCTTTTTTAGTTGTAAGATATTATTGAATAAAGTTTTTTTAGTGTTTGGGAAGATAGTTTGGTTTTTTTTGTGGTTAGATGTGATGTTTGTGAGAGAAAAAATGAAATGATTATGGGGTTGAATGTGATATTTTGTTTGTATTTGTTTTTTTTTTTTATTTTGCAAGACCTTTGTCTTTTAGTGAAAAAAATGAGAAAAAAATCTAGGAACTTGGTTCCCAAACACCACCATAACAAAGAAGCTTTGTAATTTATAACATGACTCTCTTTAATAATGGGATAATTGTTAGTAAATAAAAATTTTAAGATTTGTTGGGAATGTGTCTTTTTAGTAATTTTTTCCCCTAAGATGTGATCTGAAAAATAATTAAAATGTTTGGGAATAATTTTTTGACATTTTATAAATAAATAAAAAACGTTTTAAAAGTATAGAGAATAAAATTGAATCTTTGACTTTTTTTATATAATCATTTTTGACTTTCTTAATAACTTTTTTTAACTAAAATGGTCAATTCCCAAATAGACCCATAGTTTGTGTAATATTACTTTCTATTTAGTTTGTGTAATATTAAAAAGAATATGTCCAATTTGGGAAAGGTTGTGATATACACTTTAGTATAAAAAAATAGGTAATGACATGGTAACATATACGAGTTAGGTCATTTGTGAATTGGATTATAACTTAGTACTATAGGAGTTATTGAGTAATAACCAAATATCACATTACATGTAACTAAACAATTCTAGGATCATAAAAAAAAAAAAATAATATCATAACAAATATCACAATGTGTCATGACTGACAGTATAGTAAGTCATAACTAAAATAACAAAAATCATAACTAAATGTACACATGATACGCATTCTATAATAATAGAACTTCCCTTCTATTTGTTTTTTCTGTTTATGCGGACTTTTTTTTTTTTAATAAATTACAAATACACTTTTAAAATTTACTTAAAATATAAATTATCTTCCGTATTTATGAAAATTATATCCCGCCCTTTAAAATTTTTAATTTTATAAAAATTGTCTATTTTATCAATAAATTATCAAATCAATTAATAATTTTTAATAATGCTAGAAATATATTTTAATTAAGGGAGTGGGGAGTAGATAATCGATTTCCTCCGGACAGAAAGTCATACGGATGATAATATGATCAGAGACTTTCCTCACTATTTCAAAGCATATGTGAAGAACCACCAACTGCTCTGCCAGCGCGGAGACTTTAACGATGGTTGGCTTTTTTGTAGTCGAGAAGACGACAGTTGCGAACTTCCTCTTCCTTCGACTCTCTTTGGTTAGTTTCTCTGTCATCTCATATCTTATTCCTATTGCTTATTGGTTGGTTTTGATTCCAATTATCTATTTAACAACTTGCTATTTATTTTCTTTTACTTCTTTTATTAAATATTTTTATTCTATTTCCCAGTGATGTAAGATATTATATGCCTAGCATGTGATAATTGGTAAAGTACAATTATAGTCTATATCTAAAAGATATATAAGGATAATTTGGAAAATTGGTAAAAAATTAATTTTTTAGTTTTTTACTAAGTTTTTTTAAGAAGGTCACATAAAAGTCAATTTTTTACTAAAAAAATCACCAAAAAAGTCAAAAAATCAACTTTTTATTAATTTTCTAAAACACCCCATAATCACTTTATAACTAATTTTAAAATAATTTATAGGGGCATTTACATACAAGTCTCATTTTGTGAACTTATACTCCATTAGATTATAGATAAAATTATTTGCTCATTCAAGTCCCATTAATTTTTAATAGACCAATTTACCCATCCAAACCCCCTTCCCTCTCCACCAAATCCATCAGCCATTCCTACGAATTTTCTGATCTTTTCTCTCGCTTTCTTGACCCGGCGGTGCTCTTGTTTTTGTCAACTACCAAGTTGCCATCCTCGTTTTCTTCGTCTCTTTTTGTCCATGATCCAAGATTCACAACATCACAGGGGAATGACAGCAACATATAACAGTGGCTAACTTCGAAGTACCTCAGTGAGGGCATGACACCCTGCACCCTACTCCACTCCACCTGCAATCTAGGCAAGAACTTCAAACACAGCCCTTCAACTTTCCATGAATTCCCACCATCACTGCTCCAAAACAACGGACTCATATCAACAAGCCTCGTATACTCAAGGCAAAGATATTGTAATTCAGGAAGTGAGTTGGGGTTTATCCAATCCGGTATAGCTTCTCCATGATAATGCCCAAAGTACAGCTCCTTCAAGATGCGGAGGGGGGGTGAGCCTGTTGAGTTTCTCTAGAATATTCACGTCCTCGCAATTTTCAACATTGATCAATAACACCCTCAGTTTTTGCAATCTCTCTTCCCGCGCCGAAGCCATTCTCCTTGACCCAGTTTGTATTACCGTTGCTTCAATTAGAAGCTCTAGATTTTGTTTTTCAATCGGAGAGAGAAAGTGAATAGCTGAGACGAGAGAATCAATTTAGAGATTAAGACAGATTGCACAGAGAGAGAGAGAGAAAGGGAGAGTTTTTTAAAATTGAGAACCTTCTCAGTTTATAATATTCTCAATTTTAATCATGAAAAAATTGAGAAATTTTTCAAAATTGATAATTATAAATTTCTTAAAATATTTGCAGAATTATCTTTCTTTTCTATCCCATACTTTTATCAGAAGCCAAACAGAAATTTTTTAATTTTGATAATTTTATACTGAAATCATTCTCTGTTTGAAAATTGAAAATATTCTCAGTTTTGAAATTGAGAACATTCTCAATATTGGGATTAAAGGGCAAAACGTCTTTTTACCTATAAATGGGACTTATTGGTTTAAAAACTTTTTAACAGGACCTAAGCTACCACCAAATATATAAACAGGACTTTTTGATAATTAACTCTAATTTATATTATTATATACATGTGAGATTTAGATTAGTTTCTTAAAATTTTATCCCTTTTTATGTCAAGTATCAAATTATTTATTTTCTTTTTTAAAAAAAAAAAAAAAAAGTTAGAGAAGAGAATAAGCTGGACTTAAACTCAAGACTATAAATTTAATAGAAAAAACTCTTATCACTTAAAATTACAACTAATATACATCAAATATTTTATTTTATTTTTATTTATTTAACTTGCACACATGTGTGCCTGCTAGTAAATATTAATTGATTGAGAGCTTACTAAATTTCTCTCTACATTCTCTTTTTGATTGGGCTCATCATCAACAGAGAGAGAGAGAGAGGGGGAGTAGATAATCGATGGCCGAGAATAAACATTTCCTCCGGACAGAAAATCATACGGATGATAATATGATCAGAGACTTTCCTCACTATTTCAAAGCATATGTGAAGAACCACCAACTGCTCTGCCAGCGCGGAGACTTTAACGATGGTTGGCTTTTTTGTAGTCGAGAAGACGACAGTTGCGAACTTCCTCTTCCTTCGACTCTCTTTGGTTAGTTTCTCTGTCATCTCATATCTTATTCCTATTGCTTATTGGTTGGTTTTGATTCCAATTATCTATTTAACAACTTGCTATTTATTTTCTTTTACTTCTTTTATTAAATATTTTTATTCTATTTCCGTACTCCTGCTGTCAATGTTAAAATATAAGTAAAATATCAAATAAGTGACACAAACATGTATTAATTAATATATTATATATCATATGTTATAATATTATCATTTTAATTATTTGTTAATATATTAATTAATATATATTGCTACGTATCGATGGAAACCTGATTGCTCCTCCTATTTTCGTTAGCAAGACTCTTGTTTTTTGTTTTTTTTTTTGTTAGGCATGGAAATTTGTAAAATCGTACAGATAATTGATGGAGCCCTGATTGCTCCTCCTATTTCAGAGTTTATGAAGAATATAAAATCATGCTTTGGAAAGATATTTTTCTGGCAGCATGTGCAAGTTCTTATACAGTTTTGGAAAGTCATAGAAATTGGGGGCAAGCGTTTACTTACAACTCGACATCAACCATTTGGTTTTGACAAGATCGATGAAGGACTTTGTTGGTATAGGTTGATATCTTTGGATTATGAATTTGATGTGGATGGAGTGAGTGACAAACATCTTGGCCTACTTGGCCGTGTGTTCCGCCATCAACAGAGGGAGTCTACTCCAAATGTGCAGTATTACTCTTGCAATGAGTATCCACAACGCGATCGTGCTATCGTTTGCAATATTAAGCAATCTCTGGCCATTCCATTCTTTGAGTCTTCTGGGCCGTGCTGTATTGGTGTACTTGAGATGGTGTCGACGACTGAAATAACAAATTCCATAGATATTTGGGCACGCTTTTTTATGGAGGTTTGTTCCCTAACTAATCAGGCCCATTTTTACATTCGAGTGGGGAGTAGATAATCGATTTCCTCCGGACAGAAAGTCATACGGATGATAATATGATCAGAGACTTTCCTCACTATTTCAAAGCATATGTGAAGAACCACCAACTGCTCTGCCAGCGCGGAGATTTTAACGATGGTTGGGTTTTTTGTAGTCGAGAAGACGACCGTTGCGAACTTCCTCTTCCTTCGACTCTCTTTGGTTAGTTTCTCTCTCATCTCATATCTTATTCCTATTGCTTACTGGTTGGCTTTGATTGCAATTATCTATTTAACAACTTGCTACTTATTTTCTTTTACTTTTTTTATTAAATATTTTTATTCTATTTCCGGACTACTGCTGTCAATGTTAAAGTATAAGCAAAATATCAAATAAGTGACACAAACGTGTATTAATTAATATATTATATATCATATGTTATAATATTATCATTTTAAATTATTTGTTAATATATTAATTAATATATATTGTTACGTATCGATGGAGCCCTGATTGCTCCTCCTATTTCAGAGTTTATGAAGAATATAAAATCATGCTTTGGAAAGATATTTTTCTGGCAACATGTCCAAGTTCTTATACAGTTTTGGAAAGTCATAGAAATTGGGGGCAAGCGTTTACTTACAACTCGACATCAACCATTTGGTTTTGACAAGATCGATGAAGGACTTTGTTGGTATAGGTTGATATCTTTGGATTATGAATTTGATGTGGATGGAGTGAGTGACAAACATCTTGGCCTACTTGGCCGTGTGTTCCGCCATCAACAGAGGGAGTCTACTCCAAATGTGCAGTATTACTCTTGCAATGAGTATCCACAACGCGATCGTGCTATCGTTTGCAATATTAAGCAATCTCTGGCCATACCATTCTTTGAGTCTTCTGGGCCGTGCTGTATTGGTGTACTTGAGATGGTGTCGACGACTGAAATAACAAATTCCATAGATATTTGGGCACGCTTTCTTATGGAGGTTTGTTCCCTAACTAATCAGGCCCATTTTTACATTCTCCTTACTTTTGTTTGTTTATTTATTTATTTGACAAATTATATGAATAGTCCTGTATTTTAAAATTTGTATAATTTTGATCCATATAATTTTAATTGACTCGATTTTGATATGATTTTGTATCAATTTAGTCCAATTGCACGCAATTGTGAATATTTTTCAATGAAAAATACGCATATAAGTGACATATTTCATGCTTTTAGAGTGAATTATAAATTTGTTCAACTCAGTGAGTTAATCTCAAATAATTCAGTGATCATTTTTAGTTAAAAACATTAATGGCGTTATCAATTAGACCAAATTGACACAAAATATAAAATTGTGAGTCAAAATTGAGTCAATTAATAGTTTAGGGACCAAAAGGACACAATAGGGAAAATGTAAGGACTATCGGTGTAATTTACCCTTATTTATTTATTTTCATGCCTATCCGATGATTGTTAATTTCAATTTTCAATGATGGTTTGACAATAATTCTTGTGCACATATTGAGACTTTTATTCTGATATCATATCATTGATATTAATTATTTGAGTAAATTACACGGATCGCTCGGGAGGAAAATTGATTATTTCATTATGATGCACAAGGGCCAAAAAAAAAGTATGTCTTATTGTTAGCTCAGTTAACCTTATCCTTAATGTAAGAAAAATTGATGTAATTATAACAAAAATATAAGAATTACTATTTTATTTTTTCACCTCTTAAGGGTGAGTACAATTTACCTAATTGTTTTTAGTAGAATTTACTAGGCAATACAGGCTTCTGCTCAAAGTGTTGGACCAATTGAAATATTCCATGCCAGGGTAGGTGCAACTGCTTGAAACAATGAAGCTAAATTTGGACAATTATAAAATACCTTGGTGCAGCCTAAGTTGGTTGGTTTAATAGCCTCAACTGTGCTGATTTTTTCATTTACTGTATACAATGTTTTGGTATTATTATTTATTAATCAACTTATTTACTTAAAAAAGGTTGACTAATAATGTTTGGTTGTAATTTTAAATTATAAGTTATTTGATTTATTTAGTTTATTTGACCCAAAAAAAAAAAATCTTCATAATTTATAGCTCTTTTTAAATGAAACCCTTCAATAAGTATGGCTAAAAGAGTCCCATCTCTGTCTTAATTACCAGAAAAAAAGTTATGTGACAGTTTTTTTAATCAAATAGATTCAATTTTTTTCCACAAATTATCAAACGTTGTATCAAACAAATTTATAATTTATTTTAATTATTTTTAGCTAATAATGTAAAAGGCTATAGTCATAAAAGTTAACTTATAAGTGATAATATTTGATTCTTGCAAATATCTTTCAGTTTAAATCTATGTGATTCTTGCAAATATCTTTCAGTTTAAATCTATCAAGATTCTTTAGTTACATCATTTCAGTGCCTTGCAGGTTCAAGGCCTGACAAATTCAAAATGTATGTGTTTGTATGATGAGAAAGTAAGTGGCAAACTATAATTGAATTGTCAGATCTTGTATTGTTTTGTTCATTAGATATTGTAAGGACTCTGGGCTAACAAATATGTATTCGTGAACTCTTAAAGAAACTCTTAAAGAAATCAAGAATATGCTAGAAGTGGTGTGTAGCACTCATTATCTACCTTTGGCTCAGACTTGGGTCTCGTGTAGGCTTTGCAATGCTGTGTCCAAAATTTATAGAACCTATTATAGAGAGAGACATGCTTGCTTTTTTAAATATATGTGCTGCACAACATCTACAAAAAGGGCAGGGAGTTGTTGGAAGAGCAGTTTCATCCCAAAATTTGGTCTTCTGCAAAGATATTACTCAATTTAGCATAACTGAGTACCCTTTTGTACACTATGCACACAAGTATGGACTTACGGGTTGTTTTGCAATTTGCTTGCGGAGTAGTTATATTAAAGACAATGTTTACGTGGTAGAATTCTTTTTGCCCCCAAACTACATTGAAGATGGGGATCCGAGGATTGCTTTGGTTCCGTTATTGACAACAATGAAGCAGCATTTAAAAAGTTTTAAGGTTGCTTTTGGAGAAGAACTAGGAAAGGAGTTATCCATTGAAGTTCTTGATTTTTCAGAGAACGGTAAACTTTATTCTTATCAAATGCCTCAAACTGCAAGTTCTCCAAATAGGATGGAGAATGGAGAAGAGATGGTGTGGGTAGATTTATCCAATCAACAATTGCCAGAAGTGGATGCTATAGATTCTGGAAACAATGTTGTTAGTAACACAGAAGAAAACAACATTGCTGTTACTTCTATACAGCAAAATTGCATAATTAACTTGTCCCAGAGGCTACAAAGAAAGCTGGAATTCCAATTAACTTGGAGGATCTCTAGCAACGTTTTGGAATGAAACTTAAAGATGCTGCAAAAAGCCTTGGCGGTAAGCTTACACACTCGGGAAAAATCATTCCTAGCTACATCCTTGGGAAATGTCATATATTTTGGTAGTAGTAAACAATGTATTTTTTTTTATCTAAATTTGGATTTTTCGTTTTGCAGTTAGCCGATCCACAGTAAAGCGTGCTTGCAGGGAATATAATATCACCTGGTGGTCACCTCGCAAGAGAAGTAAGGATAACCACTCACTTTCCAATAAACTTGTCCAAGGTGCTGTTCAGGAACAAATCCAAGAACTTAGTCAGCCTCCAATTTCTGATCCACCTTGTAAGCAAGACATGGCTACTGCTTCTCGCACAAAGCCACATTTTATGGCAGAGCAAGATACAAGTACTGTGACCATAAAGGCAAAATATGGAGATGATTTTATCAAATTTCAACTCCCTGTGTTGTCGGGAATGGTAGAGTTTCAATAGCATGTGGCAAAGAGGCTGAACCTACAGGGTGGAACTTACCGTGTCAAGTATCAAGATGAGGACAATGACTGGATTTTAATAGCGTGCGATGAGGACTTGCAAAATTACATTTGCAATTCGATATCACAAGGGAGGCATACAGTCACAATGTCGCTTGAGGCAATTACTAATTGACCACCTTAAATTCTTACTGAATATCTATTTATCACTTTAGCTGCATGTTGAATTCCCTAGTTTACATTAAAAGGAAAACTAATTCAAGGTTTGTATCTTGTACGTTTGTTAAAGTTTGTATGAATTTATTTTTATTTTTATTGCAGGTTGTTTAATTAATTGATTGAGCTATTTTGATGAATTGATATTACGAATTATTTTTCATACAAAACCAACTGGCTAGGTACCCCATTGTGGCCAGCTTATTCTTTGATTAGGACTAAGGCAACATGTTTTCCTTCTATTTTTTTGGTGGGAGGCTTTTTTCAAATAATATTTATTATTATTTTTGTATTGTAGTTATATAAAATTCATTTTTTTATGTGATTTTACAATGCAAATTTTAAAGGTTAATTAAAAGCCTTCACAATAGCTATATAAAAAATCTTAATCTTAAAATATGGTATTCCTTTCTGCACTTTTTCGTCACCCTTCTATTTTATGAGTGAACTCAAAACTGGCTGACTTAGAGGCAAAATCTGTAGCTGTTCAAATGCTCATTTCGTGATCTTTCTTTTCTTTTCTGAGGTTTAGGTTTAACCTTAATTTTTTGGTACATATTTTTTCTACTGCATTATCACACTAATTAACTTGATATATATGTTATACATTCTGTTCACATGGATGCACATAATTTTCTTTCGAATCTACAGCAACTGTGCCTTAACACTGTGAAACAATCTTAAATTCGGGGAAGAAAGGGAAAAAAAAAAAAAAAGGAAAAGTAAATAAAATAGTAGTTAATTTTTTTCTCAATTTTTTTTTTTTAACTCTTTTTTCCTTCTACAAATCATTCTAGAAATTCAATAACTAAATACAACATTAGTGGTGTTTGCAAAGGCTATAATTTCAGAGTAGTCTAATTACATTTAGCACCTTTGCATTCTCACTAAAGAAAAGCTCTACATACCTAAAAAAATTATCCAGAACTTAAAATCTAAGACCAAAATTCATTCATGGAGTGGCCCATAACAAAAAGATTAAAATCTATAACAAAAAGATTAAATCATTCATGGAGTGGCCCATAACAAAAAGATTAAAATCTATAACAAAAAGATTAAATCTACACCCTAGGTATGAGAAATTCTGTCAATTTCTAGTTATTTTTTCTGATTCCATAGACAATTTCACTGTGATCCCTTCACTTTTAATTGCGACAATCAACCTTTTACACTTTAAATCAAGTTGCAGCGTAACACTTCCGTCCATTTTTGACATTAAAAGGCTGAAATATTTTTCATATTCAACATTTCTTCTGTTCAAACAAAACACACATAATTTTCAAAATAATTACTCCAATAAAATTTTATGAAGCTCACGCACAAAAGTGACATCCCCAATTTAAGTTGAATGGCCTCGAAACCGAATGAGCCATAACCCAATTGGTGAGATCTTATACTTACAATCACCATTCGAACTCTAACATTCCATTTTCTTCTTTCTTTTTTCCCTTTTCAGCTCTCAGATTTTGGAAATTTTACATTTATAACTTTCACAATTTTACTACTCAAATTTACCCTAACCCCAAAATTTCTAAATTTCGGACGTTGTTCTGACTCAAACCTTGAATTATTTTATCAGTATTTTAAAATGTCAAATTTCAGTTGAAGTTTTGACAGTTTAATTTTTAGGACCTCATACAAAATTGTACTAAATGTTGAAACACCAATATTTCTGTATTGTGTTATGAACCCTGAATTTCTCTGAACTAACATAAACCCAGACGCAAATGGACAGCCAATCCTCAGAGTGTCAAGGGGAGTCGTCCTAGGCTTTGGGTGTTTCATGGGACTTTTAGAAGTAATACTAAACAAGGCCGGAGTTTCACTAGGATGAATATACCATGCCATGGGAGTCTTTATTGGCTCAGCCGTCCTTTCCATAGCTTTCAAACTTCTATGGCCCAAAGCAAATGCAATTGGTGCAATTCGTGGAACAACCATTGGTTGCATTCTTGGGATTATCATTTGGTTGTCAGTTGCGAGTGTTGAGTATGGAAAGGTCAATCTTGACACGACTGGAAGGAATGCACCGATGCTTGCTGGAAACCTCGTGTCTATACTTACTGGTGGAGCAATTCATGCTGTGTGTAGTTTTTTGTGGCCTCAAAACTATGATTGGGATACGACAAAGCAGATAACTATGGTTGAGAAGGAAAAGAGCGAATTGCTGGTTGAGGAGTTCAACAAGGAAAAGCTGATAAGAGCGACAGCATGGATTGTGAAATGGGGTGTTGGTTTCACTGTTGTGATTGTTTTGTTGTGGCTTCTACTCTCTCTTCCAGCAGGTAAATTATATAACCAGTTTTTGACACTATATTCGCATTTTTACTGCGAAAGTTTATAGTCCTCCAGCACAGGGGACTTGTGTTACTTAGGCCCGTAGCCCGGTTTAACAAGGACCGTATCCTTTTATACTTAGTACTGCGAAAGTTTATAGTCCTCCAGCACAGGGGACTTGTGTTACTTAGGCCCGTAGCCCGGTTTAACAAGGACCGTATCCTTTTATACTTAGTACTGCGAAAGTTTATAGTCCTCCAGCACAAGGGACTCTCCAAGAATAACATCAAAACAAGGCTATTCATCATGCTTAGCAAATACTCTCGTCAAAACAAAACAAAGCAAGATTTATTAAAAACAAGTGTAACATAGCTTTATTAGAAATACCACTCACATAGTTTTCCACGGGTGTAGGCTCAAAGCAAAAATCAAGGACCTACAATCACATGGCAATTCACATTCTCAAAACAAGCTTTATATGCATGCAAATGATCTTGGCATCCTTGCAAGATCCAAGTCGATAACAAAGCAAAACATGCTGGGAGTTTAAACACTGCTCCCGTCTCATGGAAACACGCTGGGCACCCACCAGGTCTATGCCGAGGTCCCACACATCCTTGCCGAGGTGTGGTCCCGAAGGCCTTAACCAAAAGCAAAGTCGGGAAAAACCTGGGTTTCCCTTTGAAGAATATGATGAACATGATCATGAAAAAGACGAATGCAAGATCAAAACTTGTTACCAAAAATCTGAGTTTTCATGCCATGAGTTCAAAACATGGACCTGGGTACCCATACAAGAAAGTTATGCAA